TTTTTCTTCATTCATCCATACCGCTTCCCGCGCCCCCCCTGCAATGGCATTGCGCCCCCCCTAGGGGGCGCGCCCCACACTTTGGGAACCACTGGGTAATGGAGTGGCCAGCGCAGTCACCAGATCTGAACCCCATTGAGCTGTTGTAGGAGCAGCTTGACTGTATGGTACGCAAGAAGTGCCCATCCAACCAATCCAACTTGTGGGAGCTGCTTCTGGAAGCGTGGGGTGCAATTTCTCCAGATTACCTCAACAAATTAACAGCTAGAATGCTAAAGGTCTGCAACGCTGTAATTGCTGAAAATGGAGGATTCTTTGATGAAAGCAAAGTTTGATGTAAAAAAAAAAATGTTATTTCAAATACAAATCATTATTTCTAACCTTGTCAATGTCTTGAATCTATTTTCATTTCACAACGTATGGTGGTGAATAAGTGTGACTTTTCAGGAAAACATAAAATTGTTTGGGTGACCCCAAACTTTGGAACGGTAGTTTATATTACATACTTGCCAGTGTATCCACCACCCAGAAAACTCAGGTCTTCTTTTGATAGTTATGTTGCCTCACTAATCTAGAATAAACTCCCAGAAAACAGTAGAAAAATCTGCGTTGTATGCTACTGAAATGTGCTACATAAATAAACTTGCTTGCACAATGTTTTACTTTTGACACACTTTAAATGCCACTTTTTATGGCTCACATTCATCCGCTGCCACTCTGTCATAAACGCCAAGTATGTGGAGAGCAACACTAATGGTTATCCTGTAGTCAGGTTCTTTAATCTTCAGCTCATTATCTTTGCAGCTCCTTTAAAGTTAAAATGGGCTACCTGGGTTTGCTTTAATAAATGTTTTAAATAACTCCATTTAGTTTATCTATATAGCAGCATTTAAAAAAAATATACCATCTCAAAGTACTTTGCAGAGTCACAATTTGAATGGATTCCATAGATTGTTTGTATTATGTAAAGTTTTCTATCTAAGGAAACCCAGCAGATTGCAAAGAGTTGTCGATTTGCATCATTCACTCCTCCTAGATATTATCACCTGCATTGAAACTCTAAATAATCCCTCAGCAAGCATGTGAGTCAACCTAAACCAGATGAGAAGCAGGCTCATTGGGAGAGGCTTAGTGCCACACCTGACTAGAGGTTTAAGCAAACACAGCAGAGAGACAAAAGAAACATACAGCAACCAGAAAGATTTCCTATATTCAACAAGAATAAAAGTGTAATCACAGCAGCTTCTAATGTGGGTTCATTTAGCAGAGAAAAGGAGCTCTGAGAAAGTATTCAGGACTCAAAGATGAAAGAGAGCACAAACTGTGCAGATACTCACAGATGCTCAGAAAAAAGTCTATTAGTCTATGAGTATGATAAAGTTACTATAACTTCTAAAAGACAGTAGATCACCAATAGGTAGAGAAGATAAAGTCCTTATTAAACTCTGAGGCAGTGGGTCCCTGGGCAAGACCCTTAACCCTCACACTGCTCCCCAAGGAGATGGGTTAGATGCAGAGGTAAATTTCTATCATTCTTAGCATTATCATTATTATTATAAACAGAGAAATGAGCATAAAGCAAATCACCAGGGATAGAGCTAGATTGGGGGCCAGGGGTGGCCATGGCCGCCCTTAGCCAATCATTGGCCACCCCTGTAGCCACCCCTACCATATTTTCCCTCTAATAGAGATGGTGGCAGCAGTAATACTCTGAAGGGGAATGTTCAAACTTATTAAACATTTAAAATTTTCATATATATTAAAAAACTACTTGACAACAGAAACCCTGTGGTTAATTATGCACATCAATTTACAAACATTAACGATGATAGATTCAGAATTCATGCTCTTTTCAGAACTAAATTTTGAATTATTTGGGGTAAAGATAAAATTATGTGGCCTGGGTGCCATTCCGAACTTAGTCCCGCCCACAACGTTTGAGGTCGGGAAGTTCGGTCTGGCATTGCTC